AGTTAGGTCTTTGAAAAGCAACGCTGACTCCGAAATGTGCGCAGGTGTGAGCGTAAACGTAGTACTGAAGGCCGATCAGCGCTCCGGCAGACTCACAAGCGGATCAATATCCGAGGTAGATTTTGCCTATTCCGCACCACTTTACGAGTTGGAAGACGTGTCACAGAAGCAAAAGGCTCCTTGTACCCCTTCGAGCTGCCTCATTGCTCGGTTCTCGCCTCGAAGAACAGTTGCTGACTCAGAATCTTCTTGTAGATATTGACCAGGGGTGACCATCCTAGGGGGATCAAGGTCCGCCTTACCAATGGTCAGGTCGGTCGAGTGCAATCCCTTTCAGCGCCCTCTCAACTTTCCGCTAGTTCTGATATCTCTCTTCATCCATTATCAACCAGTGTCAGCCCCGAGACCTACAATGGTGAACGTGGGCCGTCTAAGTCTCATTCAACAGGAGGAGGCTCTAGCAGACGAGGAGGGAAAGCACTACAGGATGATTATAGACAAGATCCAACTCCGCTCGAGTCACGAAGTCTTGCAGACTACATACGACTCCCGTCCTCGCCAGAACCTGCCTCTGCGCCTAGTATCACAGTCGAGGAACCATCACTCCAGACACAAATGGAATCGGAATATCCCAAGCTTGACTCTGCTTTAATTGCGGCCATCGTGGCGGACTATCCTGATCCTGCCGAAGCAAAAAACGTGCTTTCAGCGCTTTCATGAGACCGAGAAACGGATTCGAGATCGCAATCACATTGCCAATTTAATTCAGTATCTCAGGAGCGGTGTGCCTGGTTGCGTAACGGTCATCTACCACATCGTGACCTCATCTGGAAAGGTGGCGGTGAACCCAATTCGATGGAATGCACTGGGAACAAACCGCATGCTTTCGCTATATGGATCGGACCCAAGTTTCATAACTTTTTACGTGTCTAAGTGCCGAAACTCTGTCGCACACCGTCGAGGTCTTGAAAGACTGGCGGCGGATATCTTTTCTTTCCACGACTGGTTCGGATTCGCTGCTTCAGGCGTGCCCGTCTGTAATGTTCGCCATGCTGAGCTCAAGGGTATGACAAGAAACCATATGCTACAGCGTTGAGTGCTTGATAGTCAACGAGAAGTGAAGCGATCTGTTGAGCCATTCGCCAATTTCGACTTTAATGACGGCTGTCTTAGGGCGCCCTCCTGCAGGATTCTTCTACCACCACACCACCAACTCGAGACGACATGCTGTATATTCCGGTCCCGGAGGTGATAGTGCAACCGAATATTATGCAGCGGTGCAGCCTCTATTCTTGGATTAATAAACTCGTACGTTTCAAGTTGCATCCCGCAATGCTTGCTTTTCTGATGGGTGGAACTTTTCGGCCTTCTCTGTTGGCATTGCTTTTCCAGCACGTGAATAGGGTTTAGTACTCAATGTCGCGTCGCAAAATCATTCCATTGGCTGGGGTTAACCTTTCTTGAATCCTAGACTCCTAGTTAGTGATCAAAACATGTGGTGAGAAATTTGTCAGTTGTGGTTGATGTCCCTTTCTCTTCCCGTTCTGCCAGGAGTTGCGGTTGCGCACCAATCAAATATCATCTTGAGGACACCGCGCCTCGCTTCGGTCTTTCTAAGTTTGACGTTTTGCTTGATATTCGCTCACTAGTATAAATGGGCTGTGACTAGATGGAAAGGAGAAGGGTGAAACCTATACTCCTTTCATCAGAGCATTTTCCTTTCGCAGAAAAGGCCCTGGGCTTCTCAAATCATTTCCAGACATGCTGAACCACTCACCATTCGTTCTACTGATCGTCAACGTATAACGCGCTTTATGAGTAATTAACACTTTCCCCAATTGCTCTGTGCTTTACAAAATAGCTTGATCACGCGGCTGCGCTTCCAAATGGCGCAATTGTCGCCCACAGAGATCCAGTACGAGCTTGAGCACATCCATCAGGATCGAGCACCGGACATCATCGCATCATATGCAACATGTCTATCTCTAGCTTGCATTGCCGTAGTGCTGCGTTTCGTGGCCCGACGAACAAGCAGAGCTTCATTGCAGGCCGATGATTTGACCATATTTATTGCATTGGTGAGAACCAGGTTACGCCTCTTTGACATTTTCGAATCATCTAATAAATACTGACCTATGTTTGGGGTCCAGCTCTTCGCTACAGGCCAGATCATCGCAGGCTCGTTTGGTGAGGTTCACGTATAGCTTTTCCCCCTTGTAGAGTCATCCTGACAACTTCCATCGACACACAGCGGTACATCTTGGCGCAGGGAAGCATGTCGTTCTAATCACTGATCCTGCTGCCTATGCTAAGGTGAGTCACCGCGCCATATTCGCGCTTCTTTTAACTCTTGACCATTCAAGCAAATGGTGGACCCAGTCTCGCGAATATTACTTTCTTGAAACCCAACTGACCAAATTCTGTTTAGTGCGTTATCACGGTTGAGGTGCTGTACAGCGTCAGCGCGGCTTTGTTCAAGTTCTCTGCCCTTCTCCGTACGTATTTTCCGAGTGGCTCCTTCCTAATCGGCACCTCAGTGCGGCGGGGAGACACGTTCTTGATCGAGACCCTATATTTCATACTCTAAAGCCACAGAAACCGAATTCTCTTTTGGGAATGAGGTGCTGACTCCAGGTTCTCACCTTAGTGTATCACCGACTTTTCGGGTCCTCGAAGCGTTTCACAGTTTGGCTCTGGGTACTCGCGGCCGTCATTCTCTGCTACAGTGTAGCCGAAGTTCTTTTCGCGGTCCTCCAATGTCACCCTATTCAAAAGACGGTAAGCACCCTTTCTTGGTTATTTCTTCCCCTTCCTTACCCTTCTTCGAGTCTTCAGACTCAAGAATACATCTAAGAAGAGAAATACTGACTCCGAGATGGTGTAGGTACGTAATCTTGAAGTTGAAAAGTCTTGAAACGGCCTCAATCTTGTGCCTTGAGACACGTCTAAGGAGGGTTTGCTCCTCAGGATTGTCTCATGGCTCGGAAATATTTTTTGAATAGGCAATGCTGACTCCGGAATCTTTATCAGTGGAATATGGAACTTCCTGGCTTTTGTCTAAACGCCGGATTAGTGGCGACGGTTCTTGGGGTGTTCAATGTAGCCGCGGATTTCGCTACCGTATTCATGCCACTGCCCCTAATTTGGAATCTTCATATGCAACGGAAGTGGAAGATACAATTGATTGGCATCTTCCTCCTTAGCGCCTTGTGAGTCATTTCTCCTAGCACAGTACGCATTGGAGGTAACAGTACGTATTGACGGGACTCATCCAGCGTCTGCGCATGCAGCATCTACCGCGTTACGATATTGAACCGCTTGTCTCTCCCAGACGCAACCTGTAAGCCACGATTCCATCAAGTTGGTCCGAAAAGCTAACCTCACCCCTAGGGGCTAATACCGAACCCGCTATATGGGCGGCGGCAGAGAATTGTATTGGCATCGTCAGCGCTAGCCTGCCAACAATGCGCCCAATTTACAACCTGATAGTCCGTGGCCATCACTGCAGTTCCCACGAAAGGTACTGTAGTCGCTGCGAGCATTCCAGATTTTCTGGCCGCCGTTCAAGACTACGGTTTGGCACCAAGTGGCCGGGCTCGGCGTCGTCGTCTGCCGGTGAAGGGATGCGCAATGCCAGGAGCTCTACGTTAGACATTGAAAGCGCGAACAGAAGTGACTTAGCAGTAGAGATGGTACTTCATGCCAAGGGCCCTGTGCCGGCTCTAAAAGGCGTTGTCATAATCACGACGACTGTGGAAATATCCTGATGAACGGTTTCTTGATGATTTAGTCTAGTCCTTTCTAATATGTTTCTGCAATCAACCTGAAAGTGCCGTTTCCTTCGTACATTCCCCAGCACTCCACCAACAGTCTGCGACGTCTCACCGCGCGATCTTACCCGCTCATCAATCGGAGTCTCGATCAGTCCCGCCAACCCATATCCACCCGACCTTGCTCCTCATAATCTGGCACTCTTCAAACAGCGGCTCTGCCGCCTCATAGATATCTTTCCACGTCGATTGTGCATAGATTCCGTGTGCACCGGCTGGTGGTTGTTCGGCTATATCGCCCACGTCTGCAAGGGAAGCGATAGTACGTGTGCAGGCTAGGTCTTCGTCTACTGTATCCTGCTATTAGCATGAGGTCTTGGCTTCGAAGCTGTGCGCAACGGACAGTAGGGGTATCTCTGAGGAGTGTACCGGCGCGGATATGGATCGTCTGGGCGAGGCCCCGGGCTTTTAGCATACCCGTGGTTGATTTCACCGGGGCTAACGTCCGCCCATCGCCTCAATTGTTGGATTGATTTTGCTCAGTCCGAGGCTTTGAAGCCAATGGGATTTTCGGTCCAGTCGGTGTCTGCGGTGCAGTGCCGGGCGTTGCTGGTCGAGTTCAGGGTGGTAGCGGGAAGGCGGGAAGTTGACGATGCTTGCTGTTGCAAGCTGCATGCAGCAAAGGATGGGGAGAGGAAAGGAAATGTTTGTTAGGTCGATGGTAAACAAACGGCATGTTGAGAAGCTGACCCAATGGATTGGGATTCGAAGAAAGACGCCTTTGCAAAGCAGATATGTGTGTGCAGGAATGATGCGCTGCGCATCACAACATTAGGTCGGCTCAGCGTTCGGAGACTCTGGACTTCAAGCACGCGACATCCGCATGAGTTCTTATTCAATAGATGGGAGCAAAAGCAAGGAACTCAGCAATCCAAATAGAAAGGCCTCGACGAGCTCCATAACACACAGAGTGCTGCGCCGAAGATACCAGCGAGCAAGACAGCGCGCGCCAGCATGTCAGATACTGAAAGCCTTCCAAACATATCAATCTGTCTATCCTTTTCGTGAGACCTATTTTAGGCCAGTGCAATCGTGAAGAATGCCAACGTCCTAGTGCTTTCATGATGCTTCGCACGCCAAGAACGCTGCAGATGCTCTATGGGTCCCGACTAAATCCTTGCGTAGTGTTACGCCGTTCCATCTAAGATGAGGGTAGCAAGTGCACACAGCCTAGCCGTTCAAGTAGTTCCTTATAGCACCTATGGAGTTGGTATGATGTCAGCAACAGCAAGGAGGACGTAGGAAGGACCTAAGATGATGCACTCACCTTGCAGCTTAGTAGCGCCCTCACCCAATACGTTTGTGAGGTTTTCCAGGTCATCCCCAGCGGTGACCCCGAACTTCCGAACGAAGTCCCTCGCAGCGCCTTCCAGATCCCCGTAATTCCCATATTCGTCTGCCTGCGGGATGTCATCCTCGGGTCGCCCGAAATAGGCATTACTGCTAATAGAGCTGGCGCCTTCGAAGCCTTGCAGACGCTGCTTAGCTTCAGTCTGGGTGGATGGGTCGAAATTATTGCGGCCGAAGAATTCATCGGACGAGATGCCTTTCTGGGTGCCGAATTTTTGGCGGGCGTATTTCTCGTCGTTTGCTAGAGAAAAATGAGTCTCTTCCAACATTTGAGGAGGACGGTGATAATTGATCCCAACTAACCTTCTTCGACGGCTCTGCTGGCATTCACAGACCCAAAGCCCATCTTCTTGGGTGCAGCAGGGGCCGGCTTGCTTCCTCCCACCTGACCGAAACCGAGACGACCCATACCCATACCTAGTCGTTCCATCTCGCTCTTCGTACGCTCATGCTTTGGCACGCCGTAGCCTTTGACTGGGTTCACCGGGGTCGGAGCAGTGATCTTAGTCTTCTCACTAATGCTGGCGGACCTGACTGTCTTTTGTACTGCGGCTTCCTCGGCTTCAGGGTCGTATCCAAGCTTTTCTATCCGTTCAGCCTCTTCCTTCGCTTTCTTCTCGGCGGCCTCAAAATCTACGGCTTCTGCTCCTCCAAGCTTTTTTGCACCTAGCTTCTGGGTCTTCTTTGCTCCCAGAACGTTTGTTTTCCGAGCGTTGCCAGTTGCTGTGGTTTTACGGATGACGGCTGACGGGACTGCGCGTGAGGGCGCTAAAGATGATTCGCTCTCAGAGCCTGGAAGGGGTGATTTTGATCTTGGTGCACCGTTGCTGTTAGCACCAGGATTAAGGAAAGGCGACGCTGTGCGGCTAATTACGGGAGGGGTCTGCGTTCTCGACGGTGGATTGCTTGGGCGTTTGATAGAGGGTTTGTCCCAAGATGAGAAGAAGTCGTCTCCTGGTTCTGAAGGAATTGACGTTCCATCTGTAGGCGTTGCGGCAACGATATCCGTGACAACGACTTCTTCCGGATATCTGAACATGGCTTAGCAAGAACCCAATCAACCAAGCGATGTGCAGCATACTCCCGAGCATCTGCGGTTGCTCTTTTCTTCAACTCGTCCTTATATTTTGTTGCTGCGTTGGACGTGTACTTCGTCTTTGGATCTTTGTTTGCAAGTGCTGCTGTTCCACCGTGCGACTGGAAATATTTTGTAGCGGATTCATTGCCCCCAACCTTCATAATACGTAGCTGGTCCCATTGCCAAACTGTATAAACCTTGTGTCAATGATTGCTCAAGAGCATCCGTGCAACATTCGTACCATCGAGGTTTGTTGATCTTACAAAGGAAATATGCACCCCCAGATTACGGTGATTAGAGGAGCAGTCGAGGCACAGGTATATACCGAATGGTACTGACGACCACGTTGGGTTCTTCGTACCGCAGTCGAAGCATACCTATAGCTACTTAGTTCATGTTTACAGTGAAGCTCTGGGATCTGATAATGATGTACTTTGTTCGCAGGCTTCGTCTTCAGCTTCTCAAAAATCTTTTGCGATTGTGCTTTAGTCGCAGAGGAGCTCATGGTGCCGTATCGGACAGTATCTTCAACCCGAAATGGTTGAGAGAGTGTCAGGGCAAGCGACGACAAGAACAGTACTTGTAGCAGCTAGCAAAGAGGTTCTTGCACTTGCCCAGGTATCCTCTAATACTGGCCTCAACATGCCAAGACACGCTAAAGGCACGCTAATCCCCGGAACAGGGTTTTGACGATGTCAGAATCTCATCTCCGCCTGGTTCCTCTTTCCTTTCTCCACCACAAGGGATCAATGCTTTTCTTCATGAAGGTCAATGATGGAGTGCAGAATAGTCTTTGGCGCTCGCTTCGGAGTAGCAGTAGCTGCTAAATCCCAACAACAACTCCTGTCATCCAGGATTGTAGGGCGTCGGTGCTTGCCATTTGCTATTCACAGATGCTATGCTACATCGAATACTCTGGCGGGAACACCAAAACCATCGTCCAGAAAGCAAGTGACGATCGGTAATGATGATGGTAGAGTTCCATGGGGCCAGTTGTCAGCTGGGGAAAAGGCCGCACGCACAACCCAACAAGCGTTCAACTTTGGAGTGATTCTTGCTGGAGCAGTCGGCCTTGTATGACGGCTTTTTCTGTCTCTTTGAGCGCTACTAATTCAGGTCAGGCTGCTGTTAGCTACTATCTCTACATCGACGTCTTCTCCTCCGACAGCAAAACCAGACACTTCAATCGTGCGGTTGACAGGATCAGAGTAGACCCTCGTGCACTCAATCTGCTTGGGTCTGGTCAAACAATCAGAGCATTTGGAGAACCGACAGCAAGCAAATGGTCGAGGAACAGGCCCATTGCGTAAGCAAGGAGATCTTGCTATTTAGCATACCGACCACTTACGATCGGGGTCTAGCTCGAATACACATACAGACAGAACTGGCATCGAGCACTTTCAGATGCACTTCAATGTACCTTAAAGGTCCCCGCACAACCTCTATTTTTACAATTAACTGACCCCCAACAAGGTCGTAGGCTCAGAGCGGTCTGGAATTGTGAATCTACATTTGGTGAAAGGCCCAGGCTCAGACTGGGACTATCGGGTTTTTGCACTCGATGTGCCAGGTATGAGTTCTATACATCCGAATCACCCAAAAATGCAAGGACTCAGTGATATACAGGTCAGCCCAGGCTCTATCTTGAAGGCGGTGATGCTACTGCGGAACAGAAGAAGCCGGGCTTTAAGATGCTAGGAGTCCAGTGGAGATGACCACTATGCGCAGTTGCCTTCCTGCTTATCATCTCGTCTCCGGCTGTGTGCCAGACCATCCCTCATGCGTTAGGTCTGGCGAATGACTGACGGCCGCCCGATACAATCACAAGGTTAGTTTTGTATTTCGGGGATCTACCATCCTCAGCTTACCTTTCGATTTAGAAGCTCTTTGCGTCGTGGAAGCTGACCTGCATCCCGCAATGTGACCTGCATCCCGCAACGTTAAAGCGCGGAACATATTAGGGAACAGTCACAAACCCCTCGCGTGAACTCTTTTGATCCATATGAAGAACACTGCCGAAAGGAAACCCACAGGATAAAGCATTTTGTGAAACCGAGAGTCTATCTCCCAGCGCTGGCAGCAAGTGTGGTTCCCAGACTCCTGACGATCTACTCGTATCGGATTCATTGTTCCCAAGTCGGTCAAAGCATCTAACCCATGTGGCGCTCGACTTCAACTCAAACCTGTCAACTAAGTCTCTGTTTTGGACTTGAGAACTGACAATGTACGATGAAACCGAAGGTAGAGTTGCGTCAAATAATCAAGGGCATCCCTTCATACCGATCATTGGTCGCCCAAGCGCCCTGCTGGACACAAATAGCTCGGCTAAATCTAACAAATCAATCATGGCCAACTAAAACCATCTTCACATGATTTGCCATACGTCTTGTTCCTTAAAACAAAGACTTGCTTGACATCAAACACGGAGAAAAATGATGCGCATTGCGATCGTTGTCTGAGCTTGGGTTTGCGGTACATCACCTTTGAGATTGATCAAAGGCAATGGATCTATTGTTGGCAGCATCAGGGCGGACAATGAATGAATGTCCACTCTTCCTGCCAACAAAGTCTTCTCAAACTCTGTTCCTCCATCGTGGTTAACAAAGAACTCCTACAATATCTTCATCTTGCTGCTCTTGCAAACCGTTCTCTTTACAAAAGTATCTCACCTCTCCACACTCAATCCCTTCTACATCAAAAGATTTTTAAAGCTCTCATCACTGTTGTCTCTGCTGTGCAGACTTGTCGTCCAACATGCGTGCTTCCGACGTCATCAAGCGTCAATGGGCATTAGTCCCCTTACTCTTTATCCTAACGGCTTTCATTCTCTCTATGCTCTGCATCTTTGCGTAAGTCTTCTCCTCCCACTGTTCCTCCTCCATCTGTCCTACAGTCAGACTCGTGAGATATGTTTCGGGAGTATGCCACTTGCCGACTCTGCCTTGCGACTCATATTTTGTCTTAAGCGCATGCTGACGCAGAAATCATGAAGTGGTTCAAAGCGCGGATATCTCGAGGATGCCGATTTGTTCACGGTAAGCCCTTCCGTAATTACGCCTTTCCTTCTCACATCACTGATATGGATTCAGCTCAATACTTCGATGCTCGGCCGCACGACTTTGGATACATCTAAGACTTCGTCGTCGATTCTGAAATCCATCAAGAACACAGTTCAGAAAGACGTGAATGAGGTCATTTCTGACGTGGCTAAAACCCTCGGCATTCATGACTTCTATAGCGCCCACATCCTCGACTATTGTGAGGTATGTCCTTTGCTTTCCTGCTCAATACCGGACGGAAAGATTCAGATTGACTCTACTATCACAACAGGGCTATTACACTCCGTCACCTTTCGCAAATCTAACCTCCCAGCCCTCTAAAAACATCAGCTACTGCTCCAATCAAACTTCGTTCTTTCACTTTGACCCAGCAGCCGTTATCCAGGGCGAGCTCAAGCCTGGAGTCAAACTTACAGACCTGAGCTGGCCATCTGCAATTCAAGACGGTGTACATGCTGTGGAGGATGCTACAGATGTCATGTTTGTCCTCTACTCCACTGGGGCAACTACCACCGGTGTGGCGCTCATCGCGGCTCTGATTGGGGTCAGAGGGGTGTGGCGATACAGTGCTATCACCTGTGTTATGCTTTCGTCGGTATGTGGTCCACAAGTCCTTCCAGAAGCCCATGACTTAGCTAGATACGTGGTCGCTAATCTTACAGCTCGCTTTTGGCTCCCTCCTCCTTGCTTCATCCATCGCGAACATCGTCATCAACAAAGTGGTCAGCGCAATCAATGAGCACGGCAACGACATTGGTGTTTACGCGTACAAGGGCGGGACTTTTATTGGTATGACATGGGCAGCGACGCTGCTGGTGCTAGTCACGTCTTTCATGTGGTCCTATGAGTTTATACAGCAAAGGCGAGGAGCGGCATCTTTAGGAAAAGAGGGAGGGTATTTCGAGGAGGGACAGTAGAGGTGGGGGGGCTAATGAATGAGGAACGACAGGCGTTTGTGTGGAGAATCGTGTATGCGAGTAGCTTGCGGCATTAATGCCTGTAGTAAAGAATTTGAGAGCTGTTCCTGTGCAATGTCAATTAGCTTGAATCAATAGCCCAATCATGAATTCGAATCAAGGTCAGTGCTTTGAAGTTGGAAGTGGAGCTCGTGCCGTTTTCTCTTTAAAAACCCCACCTCTCACCTCTCTTTTGAAATTCCCTTTTCACGGAACTCCAAACAAACACCTCAGATCTTCCTATTCTCCCAAGTGAAAGATCAATTCAATTCCTCCTTTACCTCGAGCTCCTACAACATAACCTAGAAATCATCCCCCTTTCTAGCAACAACAGAGCATTTCCTTCGCCCACAGACTAACCTCTCACCAATCACAAAAACAGAATCGTGCCCCTCAAGATGGGACTCAAAGCTGTTCACTTCGGAGGTGGGAACATTGGCCGTGGCTTCGTTGCCGAGAAGCTATGCCAGTCTGGCTTTGAGGTAGCTTGAGGGCACACCCACCCCCTTCAGGTATTGACACGGCATGTTCGCTAAGCTCTCATCCTGCAGGTTGTCTTCGTCGATGTCATGGACAAGCTCATTGAGCAGCTCCAGCAGACCAAGAGCTACACTGTCACCGAGATTGGAGGGGAAGGCGAAAAAGTCAACACGATCAGCAATTACCGTGCCATCAACTCTAAGACTCACGAGAAAGATGCCGTGCAGGAAATCTCCAGTGCAGACTTGGTAAGCTACCACGCACGTCGTCAACGATCTGAAATCACAAATTAACGCTGTCTTCAGGTTACCTGCGCCGTCGGCCCCAACATTCTCAAGTTCATTGCTCCTGTCATCGCTAAAGCCATCGATTCTCGTACTGCGTCAACACCAATCGCTGTCATTGCCTGTGAGAATATGATTGGGGCTACCGACAACCTCGCAGGGTTCATCAAGGACCCTAAGAACACCCCAGAAGACCGTCTCTCCTCCATCAGCGAGCGTGCCCGCTTCGCCAACTCTGCTATCGATCGTATTGTACCAGGTCAAGATCCCGACGCCGGTCTCAACGTTAAGATCGAATCCTTCTACGAATGGGTTGTCGACAAGACACCTTTTGCCCCTCACGGCCCACCAAAGGTCGAAGCCATCAAATGGGTCGACGACCTTGTGCCATACATTGAGCGCAAGCTCTTCACCGTCAACACCGGCCACGCAGCCGCTGCCTACTATGGACATGCTCGTGGGAAGAAGACCATCGCTGACGCACTCGAGGACAAAGAGATTCATGAGATCGTGCGTGAGTGTCTAGCTGAGACATCCCACTTGATCGTCAACAAGCATGCCATCTCTGTCTCGGAGCAGAAAGACTACGTAGAGAAAATCATCAAGCGTATCTCAAATCCACATCTCGAGGACGTGGTGGAGCGTGTGGGCCGTGCTCCTCTGAGAAAGCTTGGCCGTCAAGAGCGATTTGTGGGACCAGCACATCACTTGGCTGAACAAGGTGACAAATACACCGCGCTGTTGGGAGCAATGGAGCAAGCCTTCAACTTTGTGGACGTTGAGGGCGATGACGAGAGCAAGGAATTGAGCAAGATACTGAAGAGCATGGATGCACCGAGCGTGGTTAGCAAAGTCTGTGGTCTAGAGAAAAGTGACCAGATGTTTGGCCAGGTTCAGGCCATTGTGGAGAGGGTGCAGAAGAAGTGAATGCACTTGAATTGAGGCCTATGGACTGCCTTGAGGCCTCGAAGATCACGAAGTCATGAGTGAAGAGCACTCCTTCTAGAAAAGTGCAGGTATCTCATGAGAAAACATTTTCTTCTGCAGTTGACAGTCTCCCTCTTGCGTGATGATCCCTCAAAAATGGTCCAGTATTGAGTGATGCCCTCTGATAGGGTGCTCAGTAACTCGACATCTTACCAGTCGTATGACTGCCTCCTGTTGGTCCCATGCGGCCATCATTGTTGCCCATGAGACTGGATTACAACTGCCACAACGACACTCCAGAATGCTGTGCTCAAGAAGGGACTCTCAAATGAGAGGGACTCCCAAGTCGGAGGCTTGGCACAAGTGCAAGCACGGCTGTCAAGTAAAACCATGCCAGCTTGTTCAAAGCAATGTGCCTGGTGACACGAACAACTGGAATTGGCACTATTACCCTTGGCACTGACACTTCATAGGGCAATCTACCAATTTCGGAAGCCGGAATCGAGGATATTTCACATCTAGAATTTGCAATGAAGACGGTGAGTTCCCAGTTACCAGAAAAGGTCGAAAGCTCTTTCCCCCACACTCAGATTTCCTTTTGGGCAACATGACTTCAAATTCTTGTACAACCTCACCTTGAACGCGAACAAAACTTACCCCTCACAGACTTACTTCCCTCCATTTTCTGCATTCTACCCTCTTCCTGACTCGATATTCCGCATAAGCCGGGTGAGCAGCCTGGCATTACCCAATCGCGGCACAAGCATCCGCATATCAGAGAATCAATGTTACATTTGCTTACCTTCGCAATATCGCGCCGCCGCTCACCGTTCCTCATTGATACCTTCAAGGCACAAGAAAAGACGACAACATTGGCAGTTCAACTGGCGGGTGCAATCCCTATAATTCTGTACTCATCTCTGGCTGATACTCTCGCCTACAGCATTATCCAGACTCGACCACTCCTCCTGATCCATATCTGGGACTCACATACAGCGACAAACCGCCTGTCGTCTGACCTTTCCGGTCTCTTTGAAACTCCAACTCTCAATAAAACCAACCTCTAATTCACCCCAATCAGCATGTCTAAATGGGACCAACCCCATCAACGGCTCCTAGAATGTAGTGAGCCGAGCGCCATAGGACGTGATCTTGGGTTCATCAATCGGAAGTACTTTGAACCGGCTACATGGGAGCCGCTGCTCCGCACTGCCATGGGTCGGGGACAGTACGGAAAATTTGTGGCTTCGATGATTGAGCGAATCCGAGTGAAGGAGAGCAGCTATGACGAGATCCGAAACTTCGTTCATCTCGTGGCGACGGAGCAGAACTGGGACTTCCTGAAGGTGGCCATGCCTTATCTCCCGGAATTGAAAGAGCAGTAGTGAGTTGCGTCTGTTCCAGTGGAATCGGTTTAGGGAAAATTACTTACATTTCCCAGCCCTCATGACACTAAGAGCTTCGAAATAGCACTTCTTTTCCTTTTGAAGCCTAAAATACGCCGTAGGAGCATCAAGGAGATCCAGACTGCTATCCCTGCACCCAAGACATACGAGAACGGCTTGAGCAAGACAGAAGAGCAGTTGCTGAGGCGGAATTTGTTTGGGCCAAATCGAGGAGCGATGGACTCTCCAAGCATGAACCGTCTTTTCAAGTCGATATTGGAGCTGGGATATCCTCAATTGGGTGAGCCACTCTCAATGATCAGGGTACCTTTATCTACGGAGTGCTTACTTCTATCTAGCTCTAGATCGATCCATGCGCGAAGCCAAAGAACGAGGCACCGACATTGAACGCTGCTGCGAAGGCCTGCCAAGAAATATGCTGATGCCAGGCGCTGGTACTCGATTGTCATTCCACAACCATCGGGCTGGCCTACCTGAGGTCTGGACTCCAAGCTCTAGTGCTGAGCTGTCAAAATTACCACCATCGTCCGTATTTGAAGGCAACGAACCAATTGACAACCCTCGGGATGAGCTCCTGACCGAATTGGAGGTCGATGGAGTAGACCCACCAGTACCAACTACCCGCAACAAACCCTGGACGTCTCACGGAGAGCTTCCCAAGCTCAACAACGTTGAAGATATCGAAGCCTTCCCAGCCCGCCGCGCAGAGTCTCTTGGCCGTCCCCAAGTCCCATGCGACGAGCCTCCTCGCATTCAACATGGGCCAGCAGAGCGCGAAGCATTCAAATTTTACTACAAAGGGCCTGCTAGAGTGTTCCTGAATTACTTCCACATCCTCGAACGAGTGCCAGACCCGCCAATGCCTGAGCCCGGCACCAATTGGCCAGATTGGCCAAAGTCGCCCTCGACGCTGGGTCATAGTCCCCTCGCTGCTGCGGCGAAGCCAACCCAGACGGACACTGATGCGGTAGCGATACCAAAGCGTGAGCAGACGCCAAAAAAGACTGTAGGCTTGGCTGATGTTGCGGACCCTGGGAGTCGAAACCCTTATTTCGGTTGAGCGAAGCTTGGAGTGAGGTTGGAGAAGAAGGGTGTAGTAAGAGTGGAGTGACTAATGGCGAGATGAACGTCAGAGGTCGTATACCTACCACCTTAATGTCTAATTAATGCTTACGAATAACGATCCGGGGTGCAAAGCGGCTGCTTAGCACCTGTTCAAGAGTAAGCACATCACTATGACCAACCGCCTAATGTCTAATTCGTGTTTGCAAACGACGGAAAGGGGAATGGTTCAGGAAACGGCTGCTTGCCCAGGCTGGAGAATGCTTGACGAATGCATCAAGCATTAGCCTAACAAATTGAAGTCACGACCAAGAGATACCACACGCTGGCTGAATCCGCGTGGGCTTGGAGCCCGGTGCCTTGGTCAAGCAGTGCTTGCGTCGGAGACATTTCGTTCGCATCCTGTGTTCGCTCAGAGACACGCTGATCTATCAAAGATCATGCTATATACACCGTGGTCCAACCAAACGAACCCCAGAATCCGCAGTGACTGAGCGATAAATAACCATTCCTTAATCCCATAGCCTCGAACATATCCCACCAATTAGAATGAAACGCAAAACTTGTCAGATAGTTTGTTCCTTCCATCGAGGCATCAAGCTACACCGTAGGTCAGGATTGCTGACACCGTAAACAAAATCCCCCCCCATCTTGGGAATTTCGCCCGTGGTGTTGCATTAAACACATTCCTCCCTGCCCTGCTGAAAAGTGCCACCAACAACATTAAACCCCTCAAAGCCCTCAGCATCCCGCCTCTCAGCAGCATACCGGAGTAAGCAGCTTCTAGCTTACTGCTTCCTAGCCTCGCCTTGCACCTGAGCTTCGACTTTGGCTGGAGGGCTGACAACGACCGCATGGCGACCTGCCGGCATCCGCTTCCGACGGACAGGGCCAATGAGAAGATCGTTGGCCGACTTGTACCATTGCTGCAAGGTGTCCTTGGGCGTCTTCTCCGGCGGCTGGGCTGCGGTGGACATGCCTGGCGATGTCGTCAGATGGGAGACGTTCATCCTCACGCGAGAAGACAGGGAATGGGGCGCACTGGCAGAGGTCTTCTGCAATGTGGAGGAACGAGCCCAAGCGTGAGTGTGGGGAGTGGTGGGCCGGAAGGTGCCTGGGGGGACGGAGAGGGCTTTGATGTTTCCTCGGGGGTGTTTTCTTTTGGGTGTCTGTCTGATTTTGAGAGGGCATGGTGCAAGGCAGATGGGACATTTTATACTCGACTCGCGCGGACCCATAGCCTTGTTCGTCGTCCACGGTCACACCGCTCAATCCTACCCCAGGATGATTAATCAGGCTACGGTAAGGACAAAGCGCAAAAAAAGAAAGTATACAAATCACGAGACGATTGATGATTCTTTCAAAGTGTAAGAGCCGGTCAGCTCCATCATCAAAGGTTGTAGGTGAAAGGATGTGGCTGACAGGAATCAGGAAGAAATGGGGCGTCTGCAATGGCAGGATGGCCGGCGGATGGCAGCTAAGGGAAGCTTAAGGATCTGACAATTGCTGATTGCTGAGGTAATGAATGAGATTGGCAAGTGCCAACTCCATGCGAGTTTTTGCATTTGTTGCGAAGCGGTCTAGAGGTAATGTAGGTAAAGGTAGGGATAGCTATTAGCTGGATTATCGTAGCTCTCGTGAGATCTGATAAGAGTACATGTTCCGCTTCGGCGCCTTTTCCCCCCCAAGCTGAAAAGCTTACCTTAGGTAACTCTGACAAAAGTGGATCGATCGGGTGTGATATCGAATCCCTCTTCCTTTGGTCCTCTGCCCGATTACCTCTCACCAGACTAGAGTAGAATAAGGTCAAAAGAGTTGCATTGGATGACTGAGAGACTGAGAGACTGAGAGAGAGCCACCAAGCAGAGCAAGCCTTTCTGGTAAGCGAGGCAGCGAGCCCTAACCCTAGGCCTTGAGCGGTAAGGTATGCCGAGGCAAAGCAGTCTCCGCAGTGTGGTGTGGCAGCTTGAGCTCCATGTTCAAACGACGTGTTCCGACTCATCGACTGTCCGCTCTTCCCAGTCTCTACCCCGCCCGAGAAATCGATCAATGTAGACACCATGCACACTCCAACCTTCCAAACCCAACCCCCTTCCACAGCCTTCACCCGCCTCTCCTACCCCGCGCCGAACGTTTTACTCGTAACACTCTCCCGCCCACGGCAACTCAATTGCATCAATGGGGCCGGACAGCAAGAACTGCATCAAGTTTGGGTTTGGATGGATGCAGAGCCGTCGCTGCGTATTGGTATAATTACAGGCGAAGGGAGAGCCTTCTGCGCGGGCGCTGATCTTAAAGAATGGGACCAAATAGCATCATCTTCTGGCCCCAGACCCAATCGCAGACTCAACACATCAGGCTTCGGCGGTCTCTCTCGCCGTCGCGGTAAAAAGCCCATCGTTGCAGCTGTCAATGGTATCGCGCATGGCGGTGGCTGCGAAATGATAGCAAATTGCGACATCGTACTCGCTTCGCCAAGCGCGGTTTTTGCACTGCCAGAGGTCAAACGCGGCGTCGTTGCGATAGCGGGTGCACTACCCAGGCTAGCGAGAGCAATTGGCAGGATGCGGGCTATGGAGATGGCCTTGACCGGGAGGAACGTCGGCGCCGAGGAAGCGAAGGCATGGGGACTTTGTAATGCGATTTGTCAGAAGGATGGAGACGGATTGGCGGTGGAGGGAGGAGTGGTGCAATTGGCTGTCCAGTGGGCGGATGAAATCGGAAAGTATAGTCCTGACAGCGTGATTGTAAGCAAGGAAGGGGTAGAGTTGGGATGGGAAGGTATAGGGGTAGAAGAGGGCAGCCAGAGGTTGATCGATGGGTTGTGGAAGAGGATCGAAGGGGGAGAAAACATGACGGAAGGTATTAGAGCGTTTGTGGAGAAAAGGAACGCGAGGTGGGTCGATAGCAAGCTTTGAGGTCTGTGTACATGATGATGTGTATGATGTAACCAACGGTTCCTCAGATAGCCTTAGTCTGAGCCGGTATCAAAGCTCCACAAAAAATCCAGTCGGCGTTCTCGCTTGCAAGTTCCCGTCAGGCCAGCGTTGTGGGTGGGCGATGTTCGCGCGGCTTAAAGAGATGGCACTCCAGCTTTCGTGGATGTCAGTTGGGAGACAGAATCTAACTTCTGAGTAGAAAGGCCTTGCGTTGCGGCCGCCCTTAATGGTAAAGTAGAGCGAGTGCAAGCGTGTGGGGGCTAGTGAAATCCAAATGCTTCGTCTCCTTTGAGTGAGTCATATTCCGGTATGATCTATCGGATCCGAAAGAGAGACATGTTGCAATGAGCTATGTAGCGTACCGAGAAGAAGTCTTGCTGATGTCCAATGGTCTGTGCTCCGAGGACGCTCAGCAGTAGTCTGTCCAGATGTCCGCTGCGTAGGCTTTCGTCAACCTCTCATCCTTGCCGTATTTTTCCTGCCATCCGACAAACCCCTTGTCCAGTACATAAATTTCCTGTTCTTTCGACTCAGGTGAAGGGGCTTCCAGGATAGACCCGTTCTTGACCCCACTCTCTGATGAATCAAGCACCTTCTCCATCTCTTTCTTGACTTCCTGCTCTTTCGACGCTGGAGAGGAAACCTTTTGTATAGAACCATTCTTGACCCCAATTCCTGGTGGACCAGTCTCTCTCTTCATCTTTCCTCTCTTCATCTTGCTCTCCCTTTCTCTCATGTACCTTAAGGCTGCAGCCGGGCCTCGCTGCTGACTTAACGCGCAGTGGAACACTACAATCTCCTTCCCAGCCATGGTCCGTACGATTTCGGGTACTCGGTGGTCCAAAGATAAAGATGGAACATGCGTAGATGAGTTTATGTGGCCGCCCACATGGTCGTCATCGCGCACGTCTATAACAGCAACCTTAGATGCATCAGGAGAGAGCAGAAGAGACGATAGTTGTTCGCGCGACATCCGCCTAAGCGTTGCCACAGTTTCCATTGATATGTTTCTGACCTGTGTGGTGGTGACAAGCTTCTGAGCTCTGCAACTGATATCGGTGGTGTCGGTGACGAGATGAAAACGCCGTTGATATTCGGATTTTTTTTTCCAAATATATTAAAAACCGGCTTGAGTAACGTCAACAGATCTACGGAGGGCTTGGCATGCCAAGACCGTGTAAAATTTCCCTTTCGCCAGACTTGCCCCACGAAATTTCTGTTCAACGACTCTTGATCAAAAGTGCGCCTCGTGAAGAAGGCAGAGTCGTTGACACCATATCTACACCTGCTCACCAACCATGAAGACGACTTGGAAGGAGATACCTCCTGTGCCTACAAGCCAGGAATTTTTAGATGTGGTCTTAAGCCGCACACAAAGACGCTTACCCACTCAGATCCGCAGTGGTTTTCAAATCTCAAGGATAAGAAATTTCTATACACGCAAGGTCAAATATACTCAAGAGACTTTCACCGAAAAGTTGTCTCTGATTCTTGGTTCGTCGGGTACTTTTGAACCTCGATTGTGGTATTGATACTAAAACAAAGCAGAGGGTTTTCCCCGTCTTCAAGACATACATCCTTTCCACAAGGATTTGTTGAATACGCTCTACGATGCCGACCATTTCCGAATAGCCCTTGGCCAGCTCTCGACCGCTAAACACCTCATCGAAACCGTCTCTCGAGACTATGTTCGTCTCCTCAAATACGCACAGTCGCTCTTCCAATGCAAGCAACTCAAACGCGCTGCCCTTGGCCGCATGGCTACGATATGCCGGAGGCTGAAAGACCCTCTCGTGTACCTCGAGCAAGTGCGCCAACACTTGTCACGTTTACCAGCCATCGACCCCAATACGCGCACCCTGTTGATCTGTGGGTACCCTAACGTCGGCAAGTCTAGCTTTCTTCGCAGCGTTACAAGAGCGGTATGTACATTTCGGAGCGCTTACTTCCCATACCGAATCACTTTTTCGAGTTGCAACACAAGTTTTGGGAGCACAAGGCTCCTAATACCCCTTCGAGCTCTCTCAGTGCTTGGGCTGCCGCATTGAAGAGGGAATGCTGACTCCGAAATTGTTGTAGGATGTGGATGTACAGCCCTATGCTTTCACGACAAAGTCGCTCTTTGTAGGCCACTTCGACTACAAATACCTTCGCTTCCAGGCAATTGACACTCCCGGTATTCTTGATCACCCGCTAGAGGAAATGAACACCATAGAGATGCAGTCCATTACCGCAATCGCCCATCTACGCTCCGCTATACTATACTTCATGGACTTGTCTGAGCAATGCGGTTATTCTGTGAATGCACAAATCCAGCTGTTCCACAGCATAAGACCCTTGTTCGCTAACAAGCTCGTCTTCGTGGTAATCAACAAGATCGATATCATGAAACCAGAGGATCTCGACGACGAGACAAAAGCCATGCTGGATTCCATGTTGAAGTCTGGGGAGGTAGAGCTATTGCAATTATCATGCACGACAACGGAAGGAGTGACAGAAGTGAAGAACGCTGCATGCGAACGGCTCATCGCAGACCGTGTAGCGCAGAAGCTCAAAGCTGGAACGAATAGCAGCGGCTCAATCGGCGGAAGGTTAGGCGATGTGCTCACCCGTATCCACGTCGCTCAACCTCTCGGTGGAATCCTGCGAGAACCATACATCCCAGATGCGGTGAAAAAGCTCCGCAAATTCTCCAAAGACGATCCAGGCCGCAGACGTCTCGCCCGCGACATCGAAGAAGAAAACGGTGGCGCAGGCGTCTATAATATCAACCTCAAAGATCAGTACAAGCTCGATGATGAAGACTGGAGATATGACTGCGTCCCCGAAGTCTTCGACGGCAAGAACGTTTCTGATTTCATAGATCCCGATATCGAAACCAAGCTTGCTGCTCTTGAGGAGGAAGAGGAGAAGCTGGAAGCAAAGGGCTACTACGATTCCGACGATGATGTCGAAGACGCCGACGAAGCTGATATTCGCATGAAGGCGGATCTGATACGTGAGAAACAGGAGGAAATCAGGAACGAAGCCCGCATGAGGAAATCCCTCAAGAACCGCGCTCTGATTCCTCGCCGCTCGCAACCCAAGAAGCTTTCAGTGATGGAAGACTCCCTCGACAAACTCGGCTTTGACACCACCACCATCTCCGCACGCGCTCGCTCGCAATCGCGCGGGCGGAGCGCACTGAGGAGCCGGACAGGCACTGAGGACGCCATGGACGTGGACACGCCAATGAGCAACGTAGATGCACTGAGGGCGAAGAGCAGAGCCAGGAGCCAGAGCAACAGGAGGGACGATGGTGTGACGAGTGAGGCGGCGAGGAGTAAGGCGGAGCGGCTGAATAAGCTGGGTCAGAAGAAAATGAACAGGCTGGCCAGGCAGGGAGAGGCGGATAGGCATACCACGGCTGCGTTGCCGAAGCATTTGGTGAGTCTTCTTGTCGACATCTCTGA